GTGTGTGTGTGTGTGTGTGTGTGTGTGTGTGTGTGTGTGTGTGTGTTTCTTTTTCTCTCGTGTCTTCTGGGTCTGGTTTCTCCATGTATGTCTGCATGTCATCTTCAGTGCAGCTCTGTGTATCCTGAGATGGTTTTTGCTCCTCTCGTTCTCACCATCTTGGGTCACTAGCAGTCATTCTTGTTGGTGCCTTTCAGAAGCAGATTTCCATTTGTATCTTGGGTCCCATCTGGGAAGGGCTAGTTCCTCGTCCTTACTGTGTGCTTTAGAACCAGACCATCTTCTCTGACTCCCTTCAATCAGAGAAACGCTCTTTCTCTTTCTCTCTCCCCCTTGTTTCTCTAAAACTATGACTTTCTCCTAAAGAAACCGCTCTGCCTTCTTTTTCATATGCATATGTAGCTTAGAAAACATTTTCTACATTTACTATTTATTTCAAATTGCCTTTCACTGTTCTCTGATCATTTTGAAGTCATTGTAGCCACAGCTTGAAACCTTCCCTCTGTCTTCTGCTTTGAGAGGTGCATCTCTGTGGGGATCAGCTATAGGATTCCAGGAGCAACAGCAGAGCATGGGGCACATGGGACCCGCTGGAGCTCTGCTGGAGCTCAGGTTATCTCTAGGCCCAGAAGGCTCCACAGAGCACTGGAGTCAGGTATGCACCTGGATGTGTAAGCTGCAGCCATGGTCACTACTTGAAATCGCTGATCGTCCTTTCCTTCATCTTTCACGGCAACTTCTATCACCTGCTTGCTGTGGGAACAGAAGCCCAGCAGAAGATCAGCACCCAACCAAGCCATGAGCAAGGTAATTAGGACTTTCTAAAACCTTATTTTCAAATTCAGTGATTGTTTAAAATAATTCCATTTATCTCCACAAATAATGCCATTTATCTCCACAAACTTACAAATACAGAAGGACAAACTGTTGCTTAATTCCATTTTATAGATTAAGTAGGAACATAGAAGTGTGTGACTTTGTTTACCAGGCCAAAGTAGTTCTGCAGGAGTAAGGGACTCACCCTTCAGTGTGGTGGAGGTTGTGTGGGGCCAGCAGGGGTCAGGGTGCCCAGGATCACTGAGCAGAGCTCTCACAGGAGACCCCAAAGGTCTGCAGGGGAAAAAAGGAAAGGAGGAAGGCAGAGAGATTGAGACTAGAGTCTGTCATGTAAGATGCAAGAGCTTAGAATCAGAGGATGCACAGAGATGGAGTAGGACTGGTAAAAGCATTGTTGGCCAACAAAGAAAAAGAAGTAAGGCGTGCATGATGCTTCATGATGTGGGAGAACCACATGTGGGGACAGAGAAGGTGAGGAGAAAGTAACAGGGATGAGTGGAAAGGAAAAGAGGCAGAGCAAGGCTGAGGAGGAGAAGGGATGTGTGTGCGTGTGTACGTGTGTGTGTGTGTGAGAGAGAGAGAGAGAGAGAGAGAGAGGAATATCAGAGCTCAGGAGGAATGTTTGGCAGTCTCTCCCTGTCACTGTGTGTGATGTGGTCATTGTAGTGCTTCTCCTTGGTTTCCTGTGAGCACATAACTCTTCAGAGGGTGTATGGAAGAGATGCTGAAGAGAAGCCCAAGCTACCAGCAGGTGGTGGGAGGCATGATTATGTTTTAAATGACCTGTTACCTCAATTGATTTGTCTTCCTGTTTGTATCCTTCCCTCCCAACCACACACACACACACACACACACACACACACACACACACTCTTACACACTTTTGTTCAGTCTGTGGTTGCTGTCCCCAGTGAGAAAGGTGAGTCTTTTAATAGAGATGCTCCTGGGTGGGAGCTTAGGGTACAAAGTCATCAAAGTGTAGATTAGAGGTAGCAAGTGAAAATTCTTAAGCAGGCCAAGTTTGAGCTAAATAAATATTGATCTAAATTCAGACCTATGTCACTTAATGATGGGGATAAAGGCAGAAATATGCTGTTAGGTAATTTCTTGTGTGAACATCATAAAGTATATTTACAATAAATGTGGTCCATCCTCAACTAAAATGTCATCATGTGTCATGTAGCTATACTACAGAGATGGTGTTTGAGAAGAAAGAAAAAAATTTAATCATTTGGCAGAGATTATACAGGAACAATGAAATATTATGTATGATAGAAACAAAGTAGAAGTGAGTTAAAAGAATAGAGAGCTGATTGGAGAAGAGGTAAGGACACTGGAAAGAAAGAACGAAAACAGACAGAATGCAGAGATGGTAGAAGTCGGGAGCAGAGAGTCACATCAATGAGGTCCATAGACAGCTGCACGTGAAGAGGCAACCGTGTGTGAAGACACGACTGGGGACAGAAGAGGGAGAGGGGGCCAGGCCAGCCACTGATAGAGGGGCAAATCTGTTGGTGCAAACACACTCCATTCCTAGGCATAATTGGAGGCTTTGTCAGAGTCCAGCACCACCACATCCAGGTCCATGTCCAGGTCACTATCTCCTGTCTGTCATGTTCTTCTCTTGTCAGTGGCCCAGGAACCTTCTTTACAAATGGTTGAAGGCAGAGAATCAGAAGGAATGCTCATGTTGCCTTATGGTACAGAGGGTAATAAGAATTGAAATGACCTATTTTCTAATTGGTTTTATTTTCCTGGCAGCACAGAGAAGAATTTCTTCTTTCACCTCCTTTCCTGTTCATCCACCATCCGGTTTCCAGTCCTCCATTCATTCCATCCACCCACTTACCTACGCGTCTATACAAGCATCTATTTATCCATTCATCTATTTACCAATCTATCCATCCCTTCCTCCCCCCCGACCCCTGCCACCCACAGACAGCCAGATTATCTGAAACCTTTGGACTTCTTCAGGATACACAAGCAGCAAAAGAAGTTATGACTTCAGAAAGAATATACAGAAAGACGGGAACTTTAATTTTTAGATCGAAATTTTAGGACAGAAAAATAAGAAATTCCAAGCTAACTAGAACATAGTCAAGTGGGAAGTGAGCACCCTAGGGAAAGGAGATAAGCTCACTTATCAAAAAGGTGCAGAGTTTAAGATGTGGAGAAAATGATATTAAGGAGAAAAAGAAGGAAATTGTAAATAGATGTAAGAGCCAAAAATGAATAAAAGTCAGTTGAAAGCAAAACCATCTTGAAGGAACAGAAAACAGTGTGAGATACTGGAGGGGCGGAGAGAAGAGCCACTGTACTTGAACCCATTTCTGCCCGAAGGTGAATACATTAGCTGTGAATTTTCAGACTGTGGTGTCCAAACTTGCAAAGTGGCACTGTGAAACACATAAGGGCCATTGGTCTCCCCCAGGCATTCTAATCTACCCACATCTATAATTTGATGATCCCCAAACACACAGCTCAAGACCTGTCCCTGCTCATTCATCTGATGACCCAGTATGTTCATGCAGATCTCAGATCTCTTCCAGAAATCTCAGTATAAAATACTTGTAACATTGCACATGCCATCTTTCCTGACACCAAACCTGCCTCCTCGACCGGTGTTCTCTAGCTCAGGATGCCACACTATTTCTCCAGCTAACACAGGAACATTCTTAGGCACAGTTTTAATGACTGCCCCTCCTCCAGAGTAAGCCAGTCTTACAATTTGGTCAATTCTGTCTTCCACATGTCACCCTGTAGATTTTTTTCCTTTGCCCTAAAGAAAATCAAATCAGATCTCTTGTTTTCCTTCAGACTACAGAAACAGCCCCCAGTCACAGATTACCCCGCCCTCTGCTAGTCCTGCTCCATCACACCCATTCAGGCCAACTCGGTGAGATGGTGCCCCAAAATGCAAGTTGACTTACCTTACTTTTCTACTTTTGATCAACAACTTCCTGTTGTCATAGAATTAAGTACATTTTCTTCACAAAGGCTCCAACTTTCTATCTGCCCCTCCTCTTCCCTCAAAGTCTTTTTCACTCATTTAAAGTTTCTGGTACTCTTTGTCTGGGATCTTTTGCATTTACCTTGATCATTTATGGGACACACGGGAAGAATTCTTGTGTCTCCAGTTTGGACCAGTCTGGCTCTTATTGGTAGAAGATGTGTGTTCCCTAGTCATGCGGAAGTAATAATCACTGGGGAAGACAGTGTCTTTCTTTCCACTCTATTTGTGTTAAACACCCAATACTGCCATTTTGATTGCCTGAGCCCCTTATTTTCTTGTCTGTTCTGAACTTCTTGGCTCCACCTGAGCACCCTCCGGTGTTTCAGGTCCTTCAAATGCTTTGTTAAGTGCTTGTTTCTTCTCAGCATCCAGTAGTGCTGGAAATTCTCAGATGAGTGACCAAGATATAAAGCTGCTGCTGCCCATTGAGAAGAGAGACGTTCTTGTTGCTGGTTTCCCCATGAAAATTTTTGTGAGCCTTGGAGAAGGGATCTTCAAGAAAAAGGAAAATGGGGAAAATAATGGTTTTATTTCTTTGGTTGGTTTATTACCATTGTTTTTATAAACATTCAGAAGGTTTAAGAAAAGAAACCAGAGAAGTCAAAGTAGTAAGAGATACAGTAGAAAGGGAAGAACAACAGTGACAAATAAGACAGAGGAAAAGTAAGGGGAAATGAACCGCATGAAGCCACTGCATTCGACTCTGTGCTGGGTGGAAAGCCCAGAAAACTGAGTAGAGGAAGGGGCCAGTCACATACACAGCGAGCCCACAGTGAGACCTGCCCAGGAAAGGAAGGAAGAAGTGGCAGCCTGTAGTCCTGATGTCAGAGTTTCTAGACGTCGAATCTTCCAGAGAAAGGTCTAGCTCCACAGTAAGTTTTCAGAGTGAGTTCTCCCCAGGGAGAAGTTGACTCTGACACACATTCAGAGCAACTTGGCCTCCTCTCAGAGAGGACGCTTCTCACTTGCATGTCTGCCAGGCCAAGCTGGCTTGCAAGCACATCTTCCCAAGGGTTGGAAGGTGTTTATCCCAGGACATTCCACTAGGGTGTGACAAAACACTGACCAATACCAACTTGGCCAGGAAAGGGTTCATTTGTCTTACATCTCCCGGGTCACAGTTCATCAAGGAGCCCAAGGTAGGAACTCAGGGCAAGAACCTGGAGGCAGGAGGTGGAGCACAGACCATGGAGGAATGCTGCTTACTGGCTTGCTCCCTGGCCCCTGCTCAGCCTGCTTTCTTATGCAACACATGCCCACCTGCCCAGGGGTGGCACCCCCACAGTGGGCTGGGCTCTCCCACATCACTAATCAAGAAGATGCCCCTCAGACATGGCCACGGGCCAGTCCAATAGAGGCAATTCCCCAATTGAGGCTCCATGAACCCAGGTGTGTCAAGTTGACACTAAAGCTATCCAGCACAGGGTCTCTCAGAACAGAAGACTTCCTGAAGGAACCGGTGTCTTCCTTTTAACACTAGATACCCAGCCTCTCAGGGAGTCCCACTCTTTACAAAAGGATGCTTGGCCCACATCCTCTTGCACCCATCCTCACGTCCTCCACCGTCACAAGCTTCTTTTTTGTAGCATTATTATCCCTAAGCCTGGTGCTCTTTGTTGACCTCAGATAGAGACAGGTGCTGTTCCTGTGGATTTCTGTGGCTGCCATCTGCCACAAGCACTGGCCTGTATCCAGGGATTGCCTCATCTCCGGCCATGACATCAGCACATCCAGGGATTGCAACATCCAGATCTTTCTTTCACACGTGGGCCTTCCACACACTCTTCTTGTGTTGAGTGGTGTTACCGTCACCTCTCTCTGCCTCTTGTCCCTTTCTCTGATCTGATTCTATTACCTCATCCCAGGATGCATTCCTGTGCTCAGGTAGAGAAACAGAGAGAAAGAAACAGATAAGATGAGAAAGATGTTGGAGGTCAAGGTGTAAGAGTTAAAGACAGGAGAAGAATGGGAGAGAAGCACATCCACACAGAAGCATCTGGAGACACTGACTGCCAGAAACAAGGGCAGAGACAGACAGAATGTGCAGAGGTGGGGGACAGGGAGAGTGAGGTGTGTGGGGAGGAAGTGACTTAGGGAATGGTTCTTTTCCTTGGCGACAGTGACTGGAGTGTGTCCACCTGCACTCCAGGAGAATTGAAGGGCAGAGCAGCAGGGCCTGGGGGACAGGCCCACCCAGGTCACGCTGAGCTTCTACTGCCTCCACTGTCACTTAACTCACCATGACTTCTCCTTGGTCACAGACTGAGAACTTGGGTGGAACCTGAGGGAATCCTTTTCTACAGATCACAGAGGTGACAGTTTGGAAGTGTGGGGAGGAGCAAGTCACGACACCTTGAAATCACCACCAAGATCTATTCCAGGTAAGGACAGGCAGCCTTTCCTCCTGGTCCTACACTGGAACCTTGGATGGATCCTGAGGGATAGGCCAGGTGAGGTAGGGCAGTCAGTCCGACCCAGATCTGGGTGTGGACAGGCCAAGCAGGGAGGGAATAGTGTGAGGTTCTCTCTGAACACACTCAGCTAATCCTCAGATACCATCCTCTGCATT